CAGCCATAGTATACGTAACGTATACTGTAATATTTCTCTAGACTTTTGTATACGTTTCTTTTCAAGAATAGACCCCCTGGATCGAAGCAGGCGCCCTCAACCGGGCTCAACATCAGCGAGCCCGGTTATGAGGTTATCATCGTCAGCATTGCGGACGTGAGAACTGAACATCGTTGTCACGTCACTGTCATCGCTGTCGCATCTTATAAGCGATGGAGCGTGAATAATCCCCGGCGACGATGCTGCGTAATGTCGGCCGCTCTTCTCCTAGCTCGGTTACCAACTACAGTTCGCGTCATACCAGTGCCCACCAGGCACGGTCCAGCGGAACGTTGGTCGTGCCGTTCTTGCCGTCGTCGCCGCCACCACTCCGCCGCGTATGATTCATAAGGACCGAGCTTGGGGTTGCCTTCAGGTACGGCGGCAATGCGTCTCTCTCGCGTCTCTCTCCTGTAGAATAGTCTAAAATCTGTCCCGGAAATGGAGCTCCGGAGATTGAGCACCCTACATGATTTTTCTTCTATCTGGTCCATAGGATTAATAGGATTTAGACATTGGCTGAGATTTCGGAGCGCCGCGTAAATCCGGGGGAAATCGCGGAGTGATTACGCTCTCGCAGTAAGAATTTGCACAAAATTATATGTACCGATGATGTTCCTGACAATATATGACGTACGAACTGTGACAGAACGTGACAGTTTCCGATTATTCAAGCACATGGGTATAAACTATTGTAGTATTATTGTTTCACAGCGCGCAAAATTTGCTGAATATTTTATTATTGATAATTGTTTAAAATAATGATTTTAGATAGTTCCGTATCTTATATGTATCTTTTTCAAAGTAGAATTAATATTTTAATAAATATGATTATCATTAACTATTTTTGCAACAAGAAATTTTGTCGTAAATTGTTTTTATTTTTAAAGTGTATATATTATAGAAAGATACAGTCTTTCTAATTAGAAAGAAATAAATTTTGATATCTTGTAAAATGAAGAATTGTGTCTTCCTAATTCTTCTTCTTTCATTGATATATTAATTTTATAAAATATGGGCTGTGTGCGATGCAAGTATTATGATGTAATATTTTTATTTTATTATTAATAATTGTCAGTTAAAAATAATAAGTTTAGATAATTCTGTATCTTGTATGTATCTTTTAAAGTAAAAAATTAATGTTTTAGTTAATAATAACTATCTTTACAATAAGAAGTTCCTATGTTTCTACTTTCATTGATACATTAATTTATTATATTTTAAAAAATGGGCTGTATTATTCAAGGATTATGATGTAATATTTTTGTTAAAGGGACAAAAGTCAAATTTTATATATTTGGAGATGCTGGAAGTTGGTTTGCGAGTTGTCCGTGGCCAAGACTGGAAATGGGACAATCAGGATGGTGGAGAGGGTCATGCTGGGACAATAGTGGAGATCGGTAGACCTCCCCCCACAGGAAACTCAACCTCTAGCCCAAATCCCACCGATCGAACGCCAGACAAGACAGTTATCGTTCAATGGGATCATGGCGCTAGGAGTAATTATAGAATCGGCTATCAGGGTGCTTATGATTTGTTAGTGTTTGATAACGCAGCCGCTGGCGTCAAGCACTCTAACATCATCTGCGACGGTTGCAAAAGGCATGGGATAATTGGTATCAGATGGAAATGTACAGAGTGTTTTGACTATGATCTCTGCACGCAGTGTTACATGGCCGACATACACGAGTTAACTCACACTTTTGAGAGATATCAAACAGCGAATTCTGTAGGGTAAGTGTTCATGATTCTAATGAAATTTGTGTTCCTCATCCTGACATATAATTGCAATTACATTGAGCGCAGTGTTCGTCTGGAGTCGAGAGAAGGATGCCCGAAGATACCTTTGAAAGGAATCTTCATAGGAGCAAAAGTCATTCGCGGACCGGATTGGGAATGGGGAAATCAGGATGGTGGACGTGGTATTTACATTCTATTTAAATTAGTTGAATTATACGAATTAATTGAATTATATTCTATAATTCTAAATTATATAATCACCATCTAATTTCCTTCGAATATTTCAGGGAAAACCGGTAGAGTTATGGACATACGTGGATGGGACAACGAAAGCAATCGATCCGTCGCAACCGTCACGTGGTCCACGGGTAGTACTAATGTGTATCGATTAGGTTTCAAAGGTTGCGTGGACTTGTGTTACGTGGAGGAGGCTAATGCTGGTACTTATTATAAGGAACATCTTCCGTTACTCGGCCAACCGGTCTTGACTGTGCCAGATAATGGAAACGGCACAACACCGACAAAGAGTGGTGTCACAAGCATCACGTCTAGTCCCCATCCTTTAATGTTTAACGTCAGCGACAAGGTGAAAGTGTTAATGGAGGTCGATACGTTAAAGGAGATGCAAGACGGTCATGGCGGATGGAATCCGCGTATGGCTGAATACATAGGAAAGGTAGTTCGCAAAAATGATCATTTACAATCGTTAATATTAATTAACGTCAATTGAAGTTTAAATCCTGCAATATACGATGCATTTTTTCTGCTTTAGTAAATTATTAGAAATTTTACGTTCGATGTGATGCAATTCTAGTAACTTACTCTGAAACGCAAGCAATTCGGCAGGGGAAAATGCATCGTGTACCGCTGGCTTAATTTTAGATTTCTTGGATCTCGGTTTTGTCTCTCTAGACAGAGAAAAACTTCAATTAATATTGATTAGCAGTTGTTATTGAGAGATACGTTTAATATATTTAATTAATACATACACGTCAATACGTTTAACATATTTAATATGAGATGTGTATCGTGTAACTTAACTTTCTAACTTGAAATCTAGATTGGCACGGTACATCGAATTACGGATAAGGGAGATATTCGTGTGCAGTACGAAGGCTGTCACAATAGGTGGACTTTTCACCCAGGTGCTCTAACGAAAGTTACCGCCAAGGACGGATTCTCTCTTGGTGATATAGTCCGCGTGAAAAGCGACTTAGCTGCTGTAAAACAATATCAACGTGGCCACGGTGAATGGATAGACGTCATGAAAAATGTTAGTTGGCAATTTATAATTAGTTAGTTGGCTTGTTTTTAATTTAATTCTATATATGGAAGTGGCAGACGTTTGATATCGGATTTATACTTGTCGTAGGCTCTAGGGAAGACTGGGAAGGTAATTAAAATCTATTCCGATGGGGATTTACGCGTGGCGTTGGACATACATGGTCATACGTGGACATTTAATCCGCTAAGTGTTGTCCCGGTATCTTCTGGTACGAATGTTATGGCTGCTACGCATGATAATGCAAACAAGAGTAAAGATCGTTCGGGTATGTTTATTTTTATTATATATATATGAATTTTTGTTAATAATAGAATGAAAAAAGGTATCCAATTTAAAGTTAAATTGATATCAAAGGATTAATTTTTATTATGTTACGTATAAAACAAGACCATCTGTTATAATTTATTCTCGTAGTCGACGGTACTGACAGTGAAGTGGAAAAGCTGTTAAGGGATGCGGCTAGAGGCGAAGCTGGAGTGGATGCAGTACGGGAATTCCTCAAGAAATATCCTGGCAGAGTAGACGCGTGTGCTCCTGGTGGTGGTAGAAAAACGTGCTTGCAAGTGGCCGCTCACCAAGGTCAGCGCGAGCTCTGCACTCTCCTTCTGGACGCTGGTGCTTCTTTGCGTGCAGTCGATGAGGATGGAGATACGCCTTTGCATTATGCGGCATTCGGGTATGTTGGAAATTGTTGTCGCATTTTTCGCAAAATTAACTATATTGTTCTCTCTTTTGATTAAACAGAAATCAGCCAGAGATAATGGATCTATTATTATCGCGAGGTGCAGCTATCAACGCCGTTAATAACGGCAGATGTAGCGCTTTGCATGTGGCAGTTAATAAGCAACATGTGCAATGCGTGAGAGTTCTACTGCGTTACCATTGCGACGTCAATCTTCAAGACTCGTACGGCGATACAGCGACGTTATGCGCCTGCGAGAAGGTTGACTTCACATTGAGAAACAAACGGGGTTTCAATATCTTGCATCATGCCGCACTCAAGGGCAATGCTCAGTATGTGTATAAGATACTTAACAAGTATAATCTTATAGCGGTCATGTATGCATAGTAATAACTTGGCCGTACTTAAAATTCATCTAATCCATCTAATTTAAATATAAATAAAAAGTGCCTATATACCATCTAATTTACTTTGTAAATCTATGAATTTGCAGTGCAACGGAGAGACTGGTTGCGCGCGCGCGTCACTTGGTAGACGTGAAAAAGGAAGACGGATTTGCAGCATTGCATCTAGCGGCGTTGAACGGACACAAGGAAGTTGCGGCCATCCTTCTCTCGCAGAATGGTGGCCGTGCCAAAGTAGATCTGCGCAACAATCGACGGCAAACGCCGTTGCATTTAGCAACTTCGCAGGGACATTGGTCGCTCGTTGAGCTGCTGGTGCATCACAATGCAGATATCGGCAGCACGGACGAGGACGGCGACACTGTATTGCATATCGCGATAGCAAAGAGCCCGAATCAACAGACTGCTGTGCCTACACCCGAAAGTAGCCGGGATTCACCGCTTTTATATGCTGTACGTTATCTACGTTCTTGCTTTTGAATTAATCTTTTTATATATACTTCTCTTTAAAGATATAGATATACGGTCACAACTTTTTGCAATGCATCATTTTTTTTAACTTCAACAAAAGATCTAGGATTGTTTTAATTCATAAAACAATATCGAATTATGATTCATTTTCAAGAAAATTATTAAGTTTTAAAATATAAGGCAGCACAATACTCCTTCTCTCCTAGACGGAGAAGTCACTCCTCTTTCTTTCTCTCTTTCTCTTCTAAGAAGAAAGTTAAAAGGGAATCATGCATTGCAAAAAGTTGAGACAGTGTGAAACAGAGGTAATTAAATAAAGTCCCTCCATTATTTTTGCGATGTAGTTTCTATTTTCTTTTCTTAAATGAAATTGAAATTTTTCAAATTATTAGGTATATCTACATTTATAGTTTGAGAAGAAAAGAAAATGAAAAAAGAAAGGATAACTTATAAAGAAGGATATCTTAAGATAGTTCAGCAGTCTTTTCTAACGAACATTTTCTTCTTTCGAACAGATCTGGCAGAATCTGGCAAGGCAAGGCGCAAAGACTGAATTAGCATTAGCTTGTTTTTTGGTAAACGTGGATAGGAGTTGCAAACTCCTTGAGCAAGTCAGAAACAACAAGGACAAGACGGCGCTCGATCTTTTGGAAGGCAATCCACAGGCTGCCCTGCTCGCTGATCTTTTACGCTCTTACAAATACCAAAGTCACAGCACACAATTAGAGTAAGACAACAAGATACAAGTGTTTTACTATTTAAATGATCCGCAAGTCGAAATGTAAATTTTGACTGAAACATAACTTTAAATTGATTTTACATTTTGAAAACTGATCTTACAATGTGCTTTTGGAATTGCTTAATTGATATAGGGTTTATCAACAAACGTATGGAAAATGTAATTCGTCTTGTAGAATAGAAAACAATCCATCGCCCGGTTATATAGAGCCACCTGCGTACCGGATAGATAATATATCGCAGTCGGAAGGATTGCACGTTGCGAAGAAGAATATAACCGGTTCCGGCGACGCGACAGAATGTCGGAATTGCTCGGGGATCATAGAGGACACAAAACAGGAGAATCGAATTGATCCTAGCAGTAGCGTTACGTTCGTTGGTTGTGCACGTTGTGGCCATACGCAAACAATTCCAGGTACATGATTTTTTTATTGATCTCATATAAATTGATTAAATTGATCAAGAAATCTTGGTGAAATTGATCTCAAGAAATTATTAAGTATTATCTGTACCAGCGAAATATTCTGCATAAAAAATTACAATTATAAGGAATCATGTAGAAACTACGAATGTTTTATATTATTTTTACATACTTTTCTAGATGGTCAGCTGGCGACAGGTGAAGTCTCTATAGCCAATTCGGAGGATAAATCGAAGGACGTATCTTCAGAAAGCAAACGAAAGGAGGAGATCAGTAACAGGGAAAAAGAGAAGGACAAAGATCTAGAACGGCTACGTTATTTGGAGACTAGAGTCGCGGATCTTGAGGAGGCGAATATGTGTAGCATCTGCATGGAACGTCGTCGTAACGTCGCATTTCTTTGCGGGCATGGCGCGTGTGAGCACTGCGCCGCTCCGCTGAAGACTTGTCACATGTGTCGCAAGACGATCACAAAGAAGATTAATTTATATTAGAAGTTCGATCAATCATCATATGTTTATATCAGAACATTGATTTCCACGCGGTGTACAGTCGGTGCGTGTCGCGAGAGGAAAGGTCGACATCAGTGATAATAATAATAAAATAATCCTTAATATCCAAATTTAAACAACTTAGATTACGCAGCTCAGAACGAGAGACAGAGGAATTTCTTTACTCGCTACGAGGAATTTCTTTATGTCGCACGGTTCCTCTCGAGACATTCTGTTTGTTGTGCCGAACAGGAAATTTTGTCATTCGCCATGTTGGCGTAGGAAAATGATTCACCAATTGTTCGTAACGATGCGTACGTTACGTCTCGCGCTGATGAAATTAAACTGCCAAAATGTACATTTTATTTCCGCGAATAATTTGTACGAAAGGGAAAAAGATGAAGCTCTCTTATATTGCACTAACGTCGTGCCATAGTGAGATAGGTTTGTGCACAACACGATAATCGCGTTTGCCTGGACACGAGATATTTTGATCTTATGTTATTTTTCTCGGCAATTAGTTAAGTAATCAGTTATATTAAAAATTAATTAATACCAGTACGGGGGGGGATGTCTTGTGTCCCGACGAACACGCACGACGTACGATTGTATGTACATCGTGTACGCTTTTCTTCCTCATGAATCGACGTTTTCGCATGTGCTTTATCCCGTCCATTTTTTATTCATGTTTAAAGAGAGCGTGGATGATGAGCACTGAAAGAGCGCACTTGTCTTAACGTAGGAAACATGCGCGATCGTGTTTATGTGACAACAATCATAGAAGCTCGTAGAAACATTCGTACATATCGCTACATTATTGCGAGAAGAAAAAAAGAATACTGTTTCCACGTGTTCGAAAACTGCGAATTCCTATCGCTTCCGTGCAGTAGAAGGGAAGGGGGCACATTTAGATAGTAAAATTTTTTAGATTTTTTAAAATAGATTTTTACTGAAAAACCTCTTATATTGGTTAAGTTTCTTAATATTTTTTTAAATATGTTAATAGTTAAATATACAATTAATGTATAACTTGAAATTTTGTTACTTGCTACGTGGCAAGACTCGATATTTGATACGGATTAAATATTATGGAAGAATATTTTCGATGTTTCAAATAAGTGTTTTGTTAGACATGGCAAAAGTATATCTCTTGATACTTAATATTCAAATTGTGGGAATCTAATGCGGCGTTTAATGTATCCCCTTTTCTCCGATCACGTTCGCATCGTTCGATGAACGTTCTGTGTAACGAATAACGCACTCTAAAGGGAAACATACAGTCTTATAGCCAAGTTTTCTAGGTAGAATAATTGTATTCGTTTGTATAAAGTGATTCATTTGTGATCGAATGTGACAGCAGTGGAACCAATTAATTTTAAGCGCGCTTCCCATCATGAACGCACTTTCAAGCAAAAGGAAAGCAATGCGTTCGCATGTAATAAAGAAGCCGACAAATGTTGAGGTACAAGCTTAATTATTAAAACGAGAATCTAGTTTTTGGTGATTCTCAAATTATCGGAGAACTATGTGATTTCTGGAAGAATTTTTTTTCCATCAGTATTAAAAGTCTTGCCTTTCTACTCAACACAACGAAAAAAAAACTTGTACTCGAGATGCGTAAAAAGTTGTAACACGAGTCGCATAAGTGTACCTCGTATCAGAGAATGCCTGATCAATCGATTTTTACGTCGGTTAGCGTAATTTCTACACTGGTGATTGGAGAAATCGAAGATGATTTTTATGGGTTATTGTGCATTGAGGCGAGAGCGGTCCTTTCAGGGTAACACATCGCGAATTTTACGTTCACGAGGAGAAACGTACAATTTGCGATAGTGTCAATTTGATTTCGTCAGGATGATATTAATTTTCTTCCTTCTTTACTCCTCTCTTTTTCCTTTTTTATAATAATAATAATTATATTGTCGTTTTAGATATATGCGGCGTATATACTACGAAAGATGTTATATTACGATAAAACAGCGTAAATCTTAAGCGTCGATAGATTTCTACAATTGTAATTTAAGGCATAATTTAAATAAACAATTTGACGGTAAATGAACTTTAATCTTAATGTGCCCTTCATATACGGTTTTTTGTCCTTTAAACTTTATGGAATAATGCGAGAGATTTCTCTTTCACACTGCTTATTAAGTGTCATTGATAAAAATGATAATATAGATACGAATAAGCCACAGCGGTAACAAGAACAACAAACTCGTATAACGTAAGACACCAGACATCTCACGCAGTCAAACGAGAAGCGCAAAATAAACTTGTCGTTAGCTTAGCAAGCAATCTTATTTATTTTGGTACTCGATAAAGGTTCCGATAGTCGTATATTACAATATTGAGCCAGTTTTGCAAAAATTGTAATAGCGGTATACTAATGATATATAATAATGTAATAATGGTAATAATATTTTCTTCTTCTAAAGTAAACCTAAACGCAATGTATTCTATTAATAGTATGTGACACTGTATTATCTGTAGTACCTAATTAACTTAAACTTAAATCGTGGGGCCGTAGCACAACGTGCAATACGATCACGCAATGCATGTCATCTGTTTTAAAACCGTCTTACACCGCTTTCTTCGATTCGCGTGGATCTTATCCCCTTCCATCTCGTCTCTTCATAGAATAATGCATAATGTGAGATCCTGATAAAGGGTAACCAAGCATCGAGATATGACTTATCAGAGATTTAAGAAATATTTCATCATGTGTCATATGCTCCATAAGAACTGAACATGCTATTTCTAACTCGATATTTAATTATTTTACGCCTCACTTAGACACATGGTTTTCCCTATTCTTGGATCTATACAACGTAAAAAATAATCTTTTATTCCTTTTGTTTTTTTTCTTCCATTTTTTCATCCCTTCTGTTATTCATTTTCTTTTTACTATTTTTTTCTTCAGTAGTACATAAATGCGATCAAGTTAAAATGATGTATTTACGAAAATAAACAATACAGATTTCTCTGGAATATTGATTGAATGATACGTATCGAAGAAGGAACAAACGCACAGGAAAGCTACTGAATAAAACGATATTTTTGTGTTTCGTCAAATTGGAAAGACAATTGGATGAAGAAAACACAAATCTTCGTATTGTTCACTTTACTCTCATTTAGATCTTATTCTCCTGCATTGTTACTTTACATTTCCTACGCAAACGAGTAAAGTGTACAATACACTATCGATATACAAATATTCATCAATATACAAACATTGCTGGTAATTGACGAAATCACCGAAGATTTTTTTAATGGAAAATACCCCAACGCGTACATCATTCGCGTATGCGTTAGTGCAATTTCAATTTGAAGAAGACGTTGGAAAGTGCACTTGCTACTTACAAAAACAAATTACGATAATTTATATCAATCAGAACGCGAGATACAACTTTGCACTAATTCCGTCGCGCGCGAGTTACATGACATTTCTTTTTTTTCTTCTTATTTCAAGAATAATAGCGATTTCATGTAAAGTGCACAGCAAAACGCGAGATTTGTTCTCTTGTTGCTTCTCTCGCAACTTCTACGCGTAATCAAAATTCTATTCGCATCTACGTATATGACTTCAAGTGCCTGATAGCGAAAGAATTGTCAAGAGAGAGTGTAGTAAACGCGCACAGACGAAACTATGGCGATCCTGCCTCCCATTTCTTTCCTTGAACGCGTGCAGCGTATTTATCGGCGAATTTTACTTCTAACAGGAAGTTCTTTAACAGGATTCCTTAATAGGTAGCCTTAATAAGAGCTTTTGCTCTCTATTTCTCTCTCTCTCTCTCTCTCTCATTCTCTCTCTCTCTCTCTATCTCTCTCTCTCTCTCAGAACGATTCATCGACTTCCCGATGTCGATGTATAGATACGTAAAACTCCGTCACACTGATTCATTCGCCGAGCGTAATTATTGTCAACTACGATCAAGTCCTGAGTCCGGCCAAACACTGCGAGATCACCGTTTTATTAATATTGGGAAACGATAGTAATAGGATACCCAGTATTTCGTTATTCTAAATACATATAATGACAATGATATATATATATATATAATATATGTATAATATACACATTTTATTATAGCGATAACACTATATATTGCCTAATATATAGCCGTAACTCCACGCACGATCATTTTTATAGATGTCCAAAATGCCCCATTGCGCCCCTATAATGTTTCATATGTCGTCACGGGAAACGTTTATGTGATGATGGTAATGCGTTGTCATTGTACACTGATGATAATAATAATAATAAGCAAACGCGATTGAGTTAAAATGATGGTCCATGGATGAATTGTAAGTGATTTTTTGTGGGATGACTCTAATGCAATGCATGTTAAATCGCAAAAAGATTCCGATCTAAAAAAAAAATTAAAAAGATAGAAAATAGAAATTCTTGGACTCCTATTTTTGAAAAGAAACGTATACGAAGAACTGGGGAAATACTATATGTAGGGAAGTATTATAGTGTATGTAACATATACTATAATACTTTTTATAATACTAGTTTTTCGTATATGTATTCTTAAGAATAAGATCCTAAAATCACGATAATCCAAAAAAAAAGACAAAAAAGATATTTAAAAAAATGTTATTCAAAGAATAGTTTCGAGTGCTATACAAAAAAGAAAGGATATTCGATTGGAATTCATCTTCCGATTCATCAGCTAGCGAATCCTCACAGATTACGTCTATTTGCATAAAGTAACGCAAATCGGAGAAAGCGAGACACTTGCATAATACGGAGAGAAACTTAGTGGATTCACGGTAATGATCGAGACCGTATATAGAGGGTATCAACGAGAACGAATGTCGAATCAAACGTTTAAAACGTTTTGCAGCGTTTGGTTGCGCGGAATGAGAGTTGTAAGAAACGAGTGTAACTGCGCGATAGAATACGTTCGACTCTGTATTTTCTTCTTTCGGAATAAATCAGTGCGATAGGCAGAAACGAAAACGGACGATCATATCCTATGTATACGAATATAGAAGATATTACTGTGCCGTGAATTGACTGTTAGTGACGTGGTATTTAAGCTACGACCGGTTCGGGGCTACACGGCTGAAGCTCCGGCTCGTTCTGCGGCTCCGCGCTGTTAGTAGTGGTGGTGGTGCTCGAGGTCGCAGTTGACGTGTTCGGCTCGTGGTTCGAATCGGCGGGAGTCATCGCGGCCCACTGTGTAGTATACGGCGCCGCTCGCGCCTGTCGCCTGGCTTTTCTCTTAGCGCGACGTTGTTCCATGACTAAGCGTAGCCGACGCATCTTGCCCTTCGTCGCCTCGTTCTCCTTTGATAATTCTTCTATATTCCAAACATCACACGGCGCATTAATATTAATAGAAATTAATGGTATTAAGATAAAAGTTTATAGACATTTTTGAAATAAAAATAGTGACGTGTTATGTTATAATTATAAGGCATTAAATATAAAAATAAATTATTAAACATATATAATTTAATTCTATATTTAGTACCTTGAGTATTAAATATATTATAAAATGTTTTTCTTCGTTTTATTATTTAAAAGTATTATTTGATATAAATTCATAAATGCACACCACTGGAGTAGCCTGGTGTGGAATCATGACAGCCGACCGACGAAGTAGATCCACTCGCAGTAGTTGTGCCCGCGGAAGACGCGGACATCAAGGAAGATTGTTGGCGAGTGTGCGAATGCCTGTGATGATGATGCCTATAGTGGCCTGCGGATGCGGCCGGTGTCGCGCAGAGCAAGTCATTCAGGATGTGAATGATGGTGCTAATGTCCCGCTTCGGCCGACCGTGTCTATCCTGGAGGGCTGGATTCAGAGTGCCGCTGAATGTGCCGGAATACACGCCTTTGCCATGATGATGCATACTCTCTATTATTGCGCCTTGCCTGCGTCTCGCGTTCTCCTAAATTTAAAGAGACACATAAGATTCTGCACGTTCTATCTA